TATAGATGATTAATATGGTAAATAGGGTATTGATCAAATGTAAAATGGATAAGGGTTTGATATATGATGTAATTCTATACATATCTTTCAATTCGAGAAATTTGTGATCTATTGGTCCCATATATGTTTTATATAATGGAGAATTGATAAATTGGGAACTGATCATGTACCTTATAACTGCAATTTGATGTGTTTCTTCTTTTTTTTTTTTTTTATGGATTGTGAATTACACTTAACGCTATGGATAATTAAACGAATGTATATTAATGTTGTAATATTGAAATTTGTATAACTATTGTATATTTGATATATATAAAAAAAATTATAAATAAAATAAGTAATAAAAAAAAGAAACACTGGCTTCATCAGTTCTTTGAAGCAGCTGAAAACAGTTGTTTGCAGGTAGACAGGGACAGGAAACCTTTCTACAATGAGTTAACATTTTTGTGTTGCTTGTGGAGTCTCTCCAAAGAATGTATGTTAATGCTAGACTTATTCACTAAACAGTGATTTTAAATTGTAATAGTTTTATTTAAAAACACCTCACCTAGGGAAACGATAACGGGGGTTTAGTTACATTTTATGATGATCTCTCATTATTTTTTGCTTAGGTGAGGTGTTTTTAAATAAAACTATTACAATCTCTAAGATTTGAAATCATTATATAGTGAATAAGCAAGTGCGCTGGATTGTGTATTTTGTATATTTTGGTCCCAGCAGTACCCTATAATGTATGCATGTTTAGGTGAGTGCAGCCCTCTTGGTTTCATATATATACATTGTCCTGACTGCTGTCTAGATGTCTGTACCACCCACCCGATGCCCCCCTTTCCCCAATGACACACAGAGACCGTAATTAAGTGGGTAAGGGCATCGGCCACAGCTTTATTTATTCTTTCCATGCCAGCAACATAATCATACTGTCAGCTGTTGGGGTGATTGCCCAACAGACAGGTCTATCCCCACAAACCATGAGTCCTGAGCAGCCTGTCTCCGCCATCAGCTCCCAACAGGCTGCGACTCCCCAAGCCTCCTCGGCAACTTCACCACTTCTGCCTGCGCTGGCCAGGACTCCCGCCACCGCGATGACGACTTCCCTTCCCGCCTCCTGCCGTCATCGCACCCCCCGCCGACAGCGCAACCTCAATCCCACCCTGCAAACCCGTGTTCAGGATGTCTAACCCTATTTCATTCAAGTGGACCCCATCCTTTCTCATCAAGTTCTGGTTCTCTCCTTCCAGCTCCACGTGTGGGATGACCACCCCTCCTAGCCGTCGTACAAATTTCCCCACTGCGATGTTCAGCTTGCGCCGGCTCTTCTCCAAACCGCGAGAGTGAGGAAGCGCGCGCCAGCACGGCCTGGAAACCACCTCCGACCAAACCAAGGTCATGTCTGGAAAGAGCGCCATGCACCTCGCCAAGTCGTGCCGAATCGCGTGGAGAAGGTCCACAGTCCTGGATACCCCTACGTCGTTACCGCCCGCGTGGACCACCGCCACCACCGGCCCTGACACAAACTTACGCAGGGCCATGGAGGCCCCTAATGCCCTTCCACCTGACTCTGGCCACGTCCAACGAAAACCCCAAATTCCGCCTTCAGCTCGCCTAGCTGCCCAGTACACATAGGAATGCCCTATAATCCACACGTACCGGGGCCGACCACCTACAAGGAGAAGAGGGTTACAGCATATGAGGTCGGACATAAGACTTAAAACGCCCCGACCCCCATCGTCCAATCCATTGAATTCCCGCAGCCGAGTACCCCAATACACTCGCCTGGGTAGCCACCCGATCCGAAAGGAATGGGCAGAAAACCCGGGACCATCCATGCCACTCGCACCCAATGCTCTCTTCAGCATCGCCGAGAACTGATACCGGGTTAGCGGAGACCCGTCCACGTGAACTAACAAAGGGCCTCCCCGCTCCGTGCGCACCTCCAGAAACGCGTGGAAGGCCCCAACCGGACAGACTTCATCCCTCGTGGCCCCCAAACGAACCCAGGCCCCCCGGGCCGCCCGGTCCGTCTTAGAACGCCGCACAAAAATGTCGACGGTGGAAGTAGACCACCGCACATCCGACAACGCCAACGGCGAGGCCTTCCCCTTGCTCGGGGCTACCAACTCGCCGATGCGAAAGGCACCAAAAAAACAGACCGAGAAGGCCACGCGAAACAACTTCGATACATACTCCGAACCACAGACCGTCGGTAGTACTAAAATAATCCGCCGCAACATTTCAGCCGAAATTGGGCGACGCCTATCCGGGCGACGCCGCAGCCACCAACCCTTGACCACCCTCTGAATCCCATATTCCTTAGTAACATCCTGCCAGCCCATAAAGCGAAACAGGAACGACAGTGCAGCCAACGCCTTTTCTGCTGCAGCGCAGGACCTACCTCTCCTGATCAAGTCATCCAGCAACACGAGAGTCCTCTCCGCACGACCCAACTCTGTGGATACATCCCCGTTCCACGCTGACGACAGCCACTGCCTCCACACCGCCCGGTATGCCTTCCAGGAAGACTCCGCCAAGGAATCCGATACCAAGCCCATCAGGCCTCGAAATCGAGCTTCCATAAGGAGTCTGGACACCGCAGACTGGTCCGCTGCACCTCTGGCGCTGCCTCGCGAAACCGCTCCCACTGCAAGCGAGACAATGCATCAGCCACCACGTTCTGAACACCCGGGACATGCTGTGCCCGCACCCAAACATTAAATCTAAGACTAAGGAGCACGAGGTGACGGAGAAAAGCCAAAACCAGAGGCGACGAGGAGGACGAACGGGCAATCACATGAACCACACTCATGTTGTCCGTGTGAAAGACCACCGTGTGATTTCTCAGATCCTCGCCCCACAGCTCCAGCGCGACCACTATCGGAAAAAGTTCCAAAAAGGTCAAATTCCTCCTCAATACGGAAGACCGCCACTCCCCCGCGCACCACTGACCCCGAAAATACGCTCCAAAACCAACGGACCCCGAGGCATCCGTAAAAAGATCCAACGCGGCATTGGAGGTGGCCTCCCTCAACCAGCAAGAATGCCCGTTATAACTACGTAGGAAGGAGCTCCACACCACCAGATCCGACCGGAGGCGCCTTGTGATCCGAATGTAATGGAAGGGTTCCCTCACCCCCACCGTGGACAAGGACAATCTGCGACAAAATGCCCGACCCATCGGTAACACTCGACATGCGAAAACCAAGTGCCCCAAAAGGCCCTGCATCTGTCGCAACTGAACCTTCTTTGAACCTTTGACCAAGTCCACGAGCCGAAGCAACCCCGCCAACTTCTCCTCAGGAAGCCGGAAGACCATGCTCTCGGTATCGATTTCGATACCCAAAAACGAAAGAACCAACACCGGGCCAACCGTTTTTTGTTCGGAAACAGGCACCCCGAACTCCGACGCTACCCGCCGGAAGGCCCGAAGCAACGCCACACAATCCTGGGAACCCAACGGACCGACAAACAAAAAATCGTCCAAGTAATGGGTCAAGGACCCCAAACCCGAAACTCTAGACGTGACCCACTCCAAAAAGGAAGAAAACTGTTCGAAATAAGAACAAGATATAGCACAACCCATGGGCATGCACATATCATAATAGAAGCAACCGTTCGCGAAACACCCCAACAAGTGAAAACAATCCGGATGAACCGGCAACAAACGAAAGGCCGATTCGATATCCGATTTTGCCAATAAAGCCCCACGACCGGCCCACCGCAGGAGGAGCAAGGCCGAGTCGAAGGACGCATATCGCACCCTGCACGCATCCCTGTCGATGTCATCGTTGACCGACGCCCCCGAAGGGTACGAGAGATGGTGAATCAACCGAAAAATTCCCGGGTCTTTTTTGGGTACCAGACCCAACGGAGACACCCTCAGGTTGTGGAAAGGGGGGGAATCAAAGGGACCGGCCATGCGCCCCGTTGAATCTCCGCCTCCAGCTTGTCTTGCAATAAACCCTCCCTACCCCGCGTGGACCGAAGATTCCCAGCAAACCGGCCCTCGTCCGACAGCACAAAAGGAATCCAGAAACCCATTGTGAAACCGTCGAACAAAAGGCTTGCGACGTCCCTCTTAGGATACTTGCTTAACCAGGGACGCATCTTGGCGGCAGACGGTCTTCCCTTCTTGAAACAACGGAGAGCCGGGTGGGCTCCCCCACAATGGGCACACTCGTGCCGGAATCTACAGGAGCTAAACCACTTACAGTGGCTCTCGTTGAAGAGCCAACAAACTCCCTTCCGCTGACCTGCCGACGTCCCCGTGGGGACGCCGGCAGCCCCCGAAAAGGGAGAGGGTCTACACGGGGTCATCAGTAGCAGCCACAGGCTGCCGTCCTGCACCCCGAAGCCCATACCCGGACATGCCGCCATCTTCTGGCGGAATTGCTGGTCGTATTTGAACCAGCACTGTCCCCCATAAACCTTGTAAGCGCCCCAAATTAAATCCAAATACCCAAATAACGAGGGGGCCCTCTCTGGGAACCGACGCACTAGCACGCTAGCAAAGATATTAAAACCCTGCAGCCAATTACCGAACGTGCGCGGGATAGCCTTACCCCTCTCTCCGTCCAGTGGTTCACCCTGGCGCGGTCTGTCCACGGACTCCTTGTCCGGCGGAACCAAAGAAAGGAGATCCACATACTCACCCCGAATAATCTTCTCCTGCACCTCAGCAGGCACGTGTAAACCTAAAGGGGCCAGTTCGCACCCCGGGAGAAAGGAACCAACCCCCATCCCCTGCCCCCTCAAACTATCCGTACTACCCGAACCCTGAACCCCTAGACCACTGCCCCTGGCTTGACCCTCCACTAAAAACCTCAGCAGGCACAATACCTCACTATCCTGACCTGATCCCCCTGCCGAACCCCAAGCGCCAGCGCATGCCAACTCACCAAATGAGGGGAGGCGCAGGGGCCGTTCTCCATCAGCTTCACACTCCTCCTTGGACTCCTCCTCCTCTCCGGAATCACCCTGGAGCCTCCCAGCTCCCAGGGGGGCTGCAACCGACACGGCCTCCCGACCGCCGGGGCTGCCGCCTGATCCGCAGCACCCCTTGAACTGCCCGGTCCTGGGGACTCCCATCTCCTTGGGGCTGCTGTCCGGGTCACAGCACCCCTATTTCCGGTCTCTTCAGCCGGCGCCTGCCATCTCCTGGCGCCCGGCCTCCTATTTCCATTGCGGGCACCCACTTCCGGGTTTTGCCCGTCGCCGGCAGATGAGGTCACATCCAGCGCGCCGGCCGTGCGCGACCGGCGCCGTGACGTCACTTCCGGCCGCGCCGGAAGAGAAGGCGGCGGGCTCCTCGACCTTCCCGCCATGCCGCCATCTTGGGAATGGCTGCCGGAGGCCACCGCAACCCTCACCTGGGACCGGACCGCTCGGGGGACGACCCAAGGCTCGGCTCCACATCCCCATCCACACCAGTCCGCCTACGCCTGCGGCCTTCTCGCTCTCCTCTCACCGGGCTGGGAGACAGTCGCGACGGCGGCCTTGAAAGCCTGGCCCGCCGCCCCTCATCCACTGGCCTTGCCTCTTCACACGGGACACCGTCCACGCCGGCCAATACCGCTGCCAACGAGCCTGCACCATGTGCAGCCCGGTAAGCCTGCAACAGGGCCACCAATGATTCCTGGGAAACTTCCATCAGACAATCAGGAAAAACAGGTAAGTTAAAGCCTGAATAATAATCAAGTTTTTTTTTTTTTTTTAAAGGGGTCAGCCAAGAAGGACAGATGAAGGACAGATGAAAGTCAGGATCCCTGCACTTCCAAAAGCTGACTGGTAAGTCACCTCCCCTAACTGTGCTTATAACTGTCTTCCATCTTAGCAACTATGTATCCATCTATACCCCTCCCTTCCACTACTCCTTCAAGACTCCTTATCCTAGCCGCAGTCATGTCCCCCCTTCCTTGTCAGTCCAGGGAGGTGTCTTGATGAAAGCTCTGTGCTAGAGCTGAAACGCTGACTGGAACTGTAAGAATAAAGATGTCCTGGAGTGCCGGTATTTTTTTCATTATTTATACATACATGCATACATATATACGTATTTATATATATATATATATATATATATATATATATATATATATATATACACACACACACACACACAGTATCTCACAAAAGTGAGTACACTCCTCATACGTTTGTAAATATTTTATTATATCTTTTCATGTGACAACACTGAAGAAATGACACTCTGCTACAATGTAAAGTAGTAAGTGTACAGCTTGTATAACAGTGTAAATGTGTTGTCCCCTCAAAATAACTCCACACACAGCCATTAATGTCTAAACCGTTGACAATAAAAGGGAGTACACCCCTAAGTAAACTGTCCAAATTGGGCCTAATTAGTCATTTTCCCTACCTGGTGTCATGTGACTCGTTAGTGTTACAAGGTCTCAGCTGTGAATGGGGAGCAGGTGTGTTAAATTTGGTGTTATCGCTCTCACATTCTCATACTAGTCACTCAGGGCCTGTGCTTCCTATAGGCAGACTAGGCAGTGGCCTAGGGCGCTGTGTGAGAGGGGCCCCTCAGGGGCTGTAATACTGTCTGAATTCCCCATGAGAGTATGCTGGCAATGTTCACTCACTGAGAACACAGAGACCCTGCTTCCGCCTGTGATACAGATGCCGACGCCCTCCCCTCACTGCTTCAGCCCTCCTTGTATTTCAGATTAAATGCTTTAAACAGATAATAGGAATTGTGCTTGTAACTCCGCCTCTCCCCGCCCACAAACACTTAACTCTGCCCGTTGTCCCATGGCAAACTCCGCCGTTACCTGCCCCAAACATTCTAACTCTGCCCCTAGTCTGCCTCTTACCTCTCATCTCAAGTCCAGGAGATTTGAAGAGGAGGGCAGTGGGAGGGCACAGCTTCCATGTGCTGCTCCCCTTTGTCCTGTGTCCCCAGCCCCCATCTGGTATGTGTGTGTATGTAATAGGCAGTGTCTGTCTGTGTGTGTGGGTGTTTGTGTGTATTAGGGAGTGTCTGTGTGTGTGTGTAATAGGCAAGGTTTGTGTGTGGGTGTGTGTGTATGTATCAGGCAGTGCATGTTTGTGTGTGTATGTATTAGTCAGTGTCTGTGTGTATTAGGCAGTGTCTTTGTATGTGTGTGTATTAAGCAGTGTATGTATGTAGTACATGTATGTAATCATAAAATTTTGCAATTATGTATAAAGCACGCCATTTGTACCAGGGATGTGGAATTTATATCGCCCAACGCCTGGGACATGCAGTTCTGGGCGTCAGATAGAAAGATATTTTTTTTGTTCTTCTTTTAGGGCTGCATCGGGGAAGTTGCTGCCAAGCAGGGGGTGTATCTCTGACAGGCATACCAGGATGCTGTAACTGGGCCTTGCAGCAGCTCACAGGGAGGTGTGAAGAGCGGAAGCATCCAACCGCTCCTCACAGTGCTCCAGACTAGTGGTTCCCAACCTATTACTCAAGTACCCCTTACCAGTCCAGGATTTAAGGATTACCCTGTTATGTCTAAAGTGTTGTTATTGTTTTTTAAACACAACTTGGTAGTCCCTAAATCCTGGACTGTTGGGGGGTACTTAAGAATTTGGTTGGGAACCACTGCTCTAGCTTCATGGCCACCGAGACTCGGTGTGACGCCATACCCGGCAGCCAACAAAGGACAGAATGAGCATGGGACAGGCTGCTGCAGTTAATCTTTACTGTGTGTGAGTGTCAGAGAATGTGTAGTTTGTGTGTGTATGGGTCAGTGTGTGCCAGTGTGCAGTGTGTTTGTGTGTGGGTCAGTGTGCAGTGTGTTTGAGTACAGGTCAGTGTTAATGTGCAGTGTGTGTATGGGTCAGTGTTCGTGAATGTCAGTGTGCAGTGTGTATAGGTCAATGTGTTAATGTATAAGTCATTGTTTTTGTGTCTGAATCCACTTCAGACCCTTGGACAAGTAGATTGAAAAAGAAAAATCCATACACCTGTATGTATCTATAAAATAATGTATTTTTTGCAAAGGTGGAGAAAACCATTATTCAGATTGGCTAGTAGTAGACTTTCTAAATGTATCAAGTTGTACATTTAATGCTCATTTCGATTGTTATTGATCAGCTATACTCCTCTGCCATCTATATACATTTTCCATGTCGGTTAGGCCTGCAGCTACAACCATTTGCATCGTGGCATTTACCTAATAGCGTCTCTAATAGTAGAGCAGTAAGAGGTGTCTTTCTAAGTCATGCTGCAGCAACTACATGTGGACATTGAAAAATTCTCACCTTGCACACTTGTTCTTCAACTATAATCCATTTAAGTGACATAGAAACAGGAGATTGTGGCAGTGCTTGGAGATGGAAAGAGAAAATTCATTTTTCGCAGGTTGGAGAAGCGATTTGGATTTATAGTTCATTGATGTCATATGAGGCATGCACTTTACTTAAATAAAGAATTATTTTGTTTTGGATTCATGTCTGTCTTTTTGCTGGCTTTTTGTTGATGGTTGATATGCTTTAGTGTTTACATGTATTGTCATATATATATGGTTAGTTACTAAATCGAGAATTCAAAGTGATTTTCAAACATAAGGCTAACGTAGCCAAATAGGAAAAATATTCAAAATTCACTATGTGTCCAGTTCTGCTTTCCAGTTTTTTTTTTTGAAATTGAAAATCTGCCTGGATTCACTTTGAATTCTCACTTTAGAATGTTATAATCTAGCCTAATAGATTACTCACTCACACATCATGCTTGTAAAGTACCCAGTAGGAGGTTGAAGCTCACAAGCAGAGTTTTCTTCCCCTTTTGTGTCAGTGTGTCTAATTATTTATCCCCTCTTTATGAATAAGGGAGCTATACAAGAACTAATAAATAAAAATTAACAAAATACACTATGTATATGTTAGTGGCTGATTTGTTTATACGGTGTTTTATTCTTAATGTATGATTATTTGTATTAATAAACAGTACTACTTTAAGTAATAGTTTATATAAACTAAACAGAGCTTAAAATTTCAAGTCCAATGCTACCAGCCAGACTTTTAAAGTTACTTGCCATTGCAGGGCACACTTATCAAGGGTGAATTACTACTCACCAGGGCTGAGTTTTCACTCGCAAAAAGCAAGTGGCAAGTGCAAATTTGGAGCACTGAAGTTAGGATATACATTGTGTATCATGAAAAAATTTTTTCCCAATAAAAATGTACAAAACCAATAACACAGAGTAAATGTTATAAATTCATAAAGAAAGAAAAAAAAAATCTATAAATTTAGATGGCTTAGGCTCATTTTTATTAGATGCATTAAAGCACATTTAATTTTATTTCATACAGGAGAGACAGCTATCTAAATGTTGCGATCACGTGTTTTTTTAAAGGATTCTGCTTTTTATTTTTATTAATAAAAGTGCCTACTATTATTAGTGATCTGTTTTATTTGTGCAGTATCTACCACCATTCACAGCATACCCTCAGTCAGTTAACAAGAACTGCTACTAGTCAATGGCCAGACAAGGCCTGCAGCAAACCTTACCAAAAAAACAGTGTTCGTGGGGGATTTAGGACCTTTAACTGCACGTTTGGTTTGTGCTCAAAGTGAGATACATGTTTTAGGTACAGCAGTATTCCAGAAAACATAATTTGCCCCTTTTCACTAATGTTTCACTACTGCGTGTGGTCATGTTGTTTAGTTTTATTTTTTCTGTTATCATCTAGTGACATCTAGTGGAAAAAATTATATTTCATATCTAATGTATGTTAAACTATAACATCTTTATTAACCTACCCACTATCAAGGTAGTGTGAAAAATAATAAACAAAATAAAAAATATATATATAATGCATGTATGTGATTATGATGCCCATATACATCTAATACAGCTGAGCCAAGCATTTTTACTATACAGGGCATATTTGCAGAATGCAAAAAAATATATATATATTTATTTTAAATTGTTGTACTGTGCTCTAGTGTCATTCTTTACTTTGCTTTAGTAATAGTGCTGAAACTTGAGATTTATCCCACCAAGTCATGTAGTTGTTGAGCTTGTTTGCCTCTGAAAGGGTTATACAATGTTTAAGATACTGTCTACAAAGACATGTATATTAAAGTTTGCCTTCTGGTAGTTATAGAACCAATATATACATTGTTCTTGTGAGATCCTGAAGAATACTTATCTTATTACTATTTTCTCCAACTCCTAGGTGGTGCCTGTGGTCACTCGATGTAATGGAATGTGACCTGGACACATGGGCAGGATTTTCATGTAAGCGGAAACTGTGATATGTCTATAATAATATTGGAACCTGTATTACACTCATGGGGAACATACCTTACTAATGGCAAACGTGATAATCCTTGGGTTACAACTTCTAACATTGTTTTATGTAAGCTATGCCAACTGGGCTTCCTCAGTACCATAATCACTGTGCAACCCAAAGGAAAGCTTCCTGGCAAATCTGTGGAAAGACAGCATTACTAAATTAATTGTGGTTACTTTTTCCCATATTTCATATACGTAGATGGGTCACCATCACAAATCAATAGGAACTGAAACTTTAAAGGGAGTAGCTTAGTAAACAGTAATGCTCCATATAAGTTCACTCTGAGTTTTGTGACCTAACTCTGTGGTTACGTCTCAAGAATATCACCTTGATACCCTAAACAATGATGATGATGGTTTTGCATTCATCATATACAAAGATGCACATTCCTGGAGTCCAATGCACCTCAGCTTACCAGGTTTAAACACTAAATATGGCGGACTATACTTTAACAATACCGACAATACTTGTACACATTATATTGAATTGCATCCAATTTAGTTTTCTTTGTAAAGCTTACATTTTATTTAAGTACACATCATTAGATGTATTTGTGCTGTGCTGTGCTGTGCTATGCTCTGCGTACTAGGACCACTATGCTCTGAAATAGTGCTCTTGGCATAAGTTATTCTTAGTGAGCAGACATGCGTGACCATCAGTCATCCTGGAGTGTATCCCAAGCTGACCTGTCTATTCTTCGAATCGCCTTACTTCCCCCCCATGCTCCATGTTATACCAACTCCCTATAATTTTAGAATGAGTCCAAGTTCCCTAACTCTACTTCAAGCCTTTAATAATGGGAGGCTCACTCTCACACTGTGTTAATTATCCTGTCACTATACAAGTCTCCTCATTTACATTTTATATTATAAGATTTTGTATAAAATTGCACAAATATTTAACAATAACAAGATAATAAATTTTGCAAGCAATGGAAAATATGCAAAAAAAAAGTTCAATATCCCGTAACTCATGACTCACACGTGAAGAAAAGAGAATAAGCATTTTTGAGCTAAGATTTCATAGATAAGGAATTCTGCACATCAATAAATATGCTACTGATGAAAATCTAGATGTTTTCATGCATATAGAATATTACAAGCTGCAGGTGTAAATGCTTTAACACTATAAAATTATGCCTGTCAGCAGTTAGCAATTTGAGGCACTAACTTGTGAAGCTTTATGCATTCCTGATAGAATAAAATTAGTAATCACTTATGTCTTTTAACATAGAAAAATAATAATAATAAAAAATATATATATATAATGCATGTATGATAGTTTTCATTACAGTTAAATTCTATATTAAAAGGGACACTCCAGGCACCCAGACAACTTCTGCCCATTGGAGTGGTCTGGGTGCCAACTCCCACTACCTTTAACCCTGCAAGTGTAATTATTGCAGTTTTCATAAACTGCAATATTTACCTTGCAGAGTTAACTTCTCCTCTAGTGACAGCCACTAAAGGGCACTTCCGTCTTTATAGCACACGTGCTATAGCGTCGCTGGACGTCCTCACTCTATGTGAGGACCTCAAGCGTTGCTGAAATCCCCATAGGAAAGCATTGAAAGCATTTTTTAATGCTTTCCTATGGGGAGGTCTAATGCGTGTGCGCGGCATTGCCGTGCATGCGCATTAGGTCTCCCCCGCCAGCGGCTGCGCATGCTCAATAGGTCTCCCCCACTGGATGACGTCGCGGGGAGAAGCGTGGGCGGACCCTGAACCAGCGCCGGATACTGTTTGTTTTCCTGGCACTGGAGAGTCCCTTTAAGTACTGGAAGGGACACTTTAAACACCAAAACAACTTTAGCTTAATGAAGTAGTTTAAGTGCCCCTGCAGTTTCACTGCCCCTGCAGTTTCACTGCTCAATTCTCTGCCATTTAGTTAAATCACTTTAAATCACTTCCACTGGCTGTTACTGACACAGCCTGCATAAAAAATGGTATCAGATCTTACTTACTATAGATTTTTTTTTTTTATCTCCTGCTCTGTTACTTGCACTTTAATCACACATTATTAAATGATCTGACTAATGTCTGCAAAGCCTCAACTCTACAAATGTACGCAGACAACACCGTAATCTATACTAGCAAACCAAATCTACCGCAGCTTGAGGCTATGCTCCAAGACCAGTTCACAGAGGTAGAAAAGTGGATCACAGATAACAGATAACTTTTCCTAAACACTGACAAAACTGTCACAATGCTCTTTGGAACTTTACCTAAATTACATAAACTACAAAATTCCCATCTATGCATCAAAATAAAATGAAATAAAATAAAAAAGCACACTGACCGCAGTCCCTTCCTTCAAATATCTAGGGATGATGCTAGACCCCGATCTTATGGCTTCCACGTTAAAAAAACTCTCATCAAAACTATATCCAAAACTACTGTAGGTGCCCTGTATAGAAACAAATCTTGCCTAAGCACTACGGTAACAAAACAGATTGTACAACAAATGCTAATGCTGGTCATTGAATTGTGTTTGTACCTGTGCCGCAAACCCACCTTCATAAACTTACTACATTGTATAACATTCTTCCACTTTGTGCTTCAATGCAATGACATGACCCACCATTGGAACATGTTAAAAGAGCTAAACTGGACATGCGCATTGTTCATATGGGGGGTCAAGAGGCCACAAATACCCAAAACCCTACTACTAACAAAGTAAAAACCAAAGAAAAAGATATCCTGCGCTCTCTCCTAAATCCCTATGTATAGTTAAACAAATGGAGGTCATTTAGTTACTCCAATGGCCATTGGAGGGAATGCCCGCATACCAACGTCAAGGCAGACCCCTCTAGGAGGGTCCTACACTGACCTTTCACCTTGCTTCCTTGAGCTTCTGGCAAAGATATCTCTAATGAGACAGAGAAGGGTATATTTTATATATAACCCTTAATAGGGAAAACATGGGATGGGCGACAGCATTGTAACAAAGCGGTGTGACACAAAATACAAATACAAAAAGATAAGTCCTGCACTCACTCCCATCACGCCTTGGCGGCAGCAACTGCCACAGTACACATCAGCCTTTAGGAGAGAGCGCAGGTAACTTTTTCTTTGGTTTTTACTGTATGTATTGGGGCTGATGTGTACTGTGGTGGGGTGGGCCTTCCCAACATAGGGCAATAGTACAAAGCTACAGCACTGATGACAGGCATTACTCTACACTCACGTGCTGGGATCTTACAGTGGGTAGACATGGAGGCCACACAATATCAGGAACACAAACTCACTGACGATACGTGGACACCCAAACAACACAGCCCGAACATTTTCCATCCACACAGCTGACACTCAAATATTGGGACGCATTCCTTGACACTTTAGGCTGTAAAGCGACATTCCATGTCAAAGCCCCCCTGACGGCCCTAAGAGTGGTTTCACCTGACATGCCCCCTCCAGAGCTGGCTCTCAGCTGGGATCTCCCACGTCGGTCATCTCGTGGACAAAAAAAAAAAAGAGTGATACCATTTCCAGAGCTGCAAAAGAAATTGAATCTCCCTCCCCAGACTATATTCCCATACCTGCAACTTAAAGGAGTTATCAACTCACATGTGATGCCCTACCAGCCTGCATCAGGCCATGATCCTCTCCCAACCCAACTGGATGCTGGATAGCTCCTTTCAAACCAAAGGCCATCTCCCTATGCTACAGAGCATGGCAAAACACCCTACCACATGACCCCCACAATGTAAAACACACTGGGAAGCAGACTGCTCTATTTCACTCACGGAAACAGACTGGCTAAAGCGCTCAATAACCTGTCCAGGTGTTGAATTGTCATGGGTTCATCACCACCATGACGACTGTTTGTTTGCATTGGAAATTTCACCCTTTTATGTTTCATATGTTTTGACAGTAATTGATGTTCACAGTATATGGTGCTTTTATAGACAACAAGTAATGACCTTTCTTCTGTAAAGTTGATACATTACATACTTTTTGCTATAAAACCACATAAAAAGGTTATGCAACTCGAGTGTCACCTACCTGGTATCGAAATAATGATAATGTTGCACAACTAGAGTGATTACATGTAACTGTACAAATGTCAAATTTGATTTATTTGCTTCCCCCTCCCAATCCTCCCTTTTCTTATTTTTGTACCCCTCATCCTTGTTTAATAAAACAATAAAATGCTAATTTGAAGAAAAAAAAAAGATGGAATCCAGACGCACCCTTTGTCTTTCCAGCTTTGTGTTTAAGAACTTTCCTGGGAAGCTCACACCCTACCTGAGTAGAATGTCGTCCCCAGCAGTTCCCACCTCCTATAACCTCTGATCCAGTACCAGCACTTTATTTAGTATATACTGCAATACAGAAATAAAGTGGTTTGGTTCTCATTTTCCTAAAAAGCACCGCAATTATGGAAAAACCTCACAGAGACAATCAAATCTTCCTCCAGTTTAAAATCCTTTAAGAGACCCCTCTCTACAAATCTTAATACAGAATGCACAGGTAATCGTGTTTGATTGTATTTCCTGTTCTGTATTAAATTTATATGTGTTGTGTATTAATATGATTAGTCATTTTAATAAAAAAATTGTAGCAATGGAATGTTTATGGGCCCAGGACATACTTAAAAACAAGAGAAAGCTCAGTGTATCGTTCTTGGTAAAATATGTTTAAAATAAATAAATAATACATGAGCCTCCTGCAAGATCTAGTTGGCTATTAAGAGAGGAGATAATACATTCTAAAGTGAACAGGCTGTGTAATAAAGGAAGTTTAAATATTAGATCTCTCTTTTCAGGAAATAGGGAGACTGTGTAGTTCTCATGCAGGGAGGTGGGGTAAGGGGTGCAATAAACAAAGTGACTTAACTCCTAAATGGCAGAGAATTGAGCAGTGAGACTGCAGGGGAACGATCTATACACGAAAACTGCTTCATTTAGCTAAAGTTGTTTTGGAGCCTACAGTTTCCCTTTAAAACATGATAGGGACTCTTTTACATAGTTACATAGCTGAAAAGAGACTTGTGTCCATCAAGTTCAGCCTTCCTCACATATGTTGTTGCTGTTGATCCAAAAGAAGGCAAAAACCCTAGTCTGAAGCGATTCCAATTTTGCATCAAACTAGGAAAAAATTCCTTCTTGACCCCAAAATATCAGTCAGATGTCTCCTTGGATCAAGCAGCTATTACCCCACTAAATAGAAATTATATCCCTGTATGTTATGTTTTTGTAAGTATTTATCCAATTGCAGTTTAACCCCTTAAGGACCAAACTTCTGGAATAAAAGGGAATCATGACGTGTCACACATGTCATGTGTCCTCAAGGGGTTAAACATCTGTAGTGACTCTGACAAAACCACCTCTTCAGGCAGAGAATTCCATATCCTTATTGCTCTTACTGTAAAAAAAACTTTTCTTTGCCTTAGATGAAATCTCCTTTCTTCCAGCCTAAATGTGTGACCTCGTGTCCTATGTATAGTCCTGTTTATGAATAGATTTCAAGATAACGGTTTGTACTGGCCCCAAATATATTTGTATAAAGTTATCATATCCCCTCTCAAGCGCCATTTTTCCAAACTAAACAGATTTAATTTTTTTTAGCCTTTCTTCATAACTTAAATGCTCCATTCCTTTTATCAATTTTGTAGCTCGTCTCTGGATTTTTTCTAGTGCCATGATATCTTTCTTTAGAACAGGCGCCCAAAATTGCACAGCATATTCAAGCTGTGGTCTTACCAGCGATTTATAAAGAGGCAAAATTATATTTTCAGTACGAGAATTTATGCCCCTATTTATACATGACAAAACCTTACTGGCCTTAGCAACTGCAGCTTGACATTGTATATTGCTGCCTAATTTGTGGTCTATAACAATTCCCAAATCCTTCTCGTGTGTGGTTATCCCTAATCCACTACCATTTAGTGTGTAAGTTGCTTGTGCATTCTTAACCCCGAAGTGCATAACTTTGCATTTCTCTACGTTAAATTTCATCTGCCATTTTAGTGCCCAGTCCCCCAATTTAATCTATCCAAATCCCTCTGCAGCAAAGCAATATCCTGCTCACATTTTATTACTTTACAAAGTTTTGTGTCATCTGCAAACACTGATACATGGCTTTCAATACCTATTTCAAGATCATTTATAAATATGTTAAATAGAAGTGGTCCCAAAACTGAACCCTGAGGGACACCACTTACCACTCTAGTCCAGCCTGAAAATGTACCATTAATTACAACTCGTTGTACTCTATCATTAAGCCAATGTTCTACCCAAGAACAAGAATATTCATCTAGACCAATTTCTTTTAGTTTGAAGACTAACCTGTTGTGAGGAACCGTATCAAATGCCTTGGCAAAATCCAATTTTGCTTCAAATAAAACATATGACCCTTGTGCTGGAAAACCAAACAAGTGTTTTGCCTGGTAAGTTCTCCTATTTAGGTTAGCTATTGATCCCAATGAGGCTAATCACATGTTTAATCAATTAAATCATTAGAATAAACTGGAAAACTGGGGGTGTGGTCTGGCTGGCAACCAAGATGGTCACTAGCTGAGCTCTGAACAGATCTGTGCTAAAACGCAAAGAAAAAGTATGGAAAATTATTCACTTTATTTTGCGATTGGTATGCTTATTAACCATGCAGTCATCAAAGAAACTCATGAGAGTAGTGCCCGGACCAAAGTCTGCAGGCAAAAGTGTTCCGACATGTAGCTGGGTAAAATTGTGAATCCTCCTTCCACGTTGAATTCAAGTGATTCATAGCAAACAAAGGGAAAACTAACAACTGAGGATTTGGATAAAGTGATTTGCAAAGTATTTTGCTCGACCAGGCAGACTGTGCAAAATGGCAAATGCACCAGAAGAAACTTCCAAGTTGCAAATGGCCACCGCTTAGAGTGATTTGAAGCTGCGAAAGGACCATTGATGGAGCTAAGGCTCCATATGCTTAGGGAGTCTCTTAAATCAGACTTATTGAAGGAAATGGTTGCAGTTAGCAGAGAGGTCACTGAAATGGATATTCACATTTCTCAGCTTGAAAGACTACAAACTGAGCAAATGGAGGAACATGGCGAATTAGTAGAAAAAAAAAGTGCAAATGCCCAACTCGTGAATACAAGCTATAGTGGAATAAAACATTGAATTGGAGGATCCCAGTCAAATGCACAACATTCGCATTCACGGTGTTGCCCCGAATGCTTTAACTAAACATGTTGCTGGTCTTCTTCGTTTGGTTCTTCCGAATTCTTCTGACATTGAATTGACTATTGAGAGATGCCATAGGCTCTATAAATCGAATTTGGTTCCCCAGAATGAAACTTTGGTAAGGTTTCACTTTTTACATATTAAACATCAATTTATGGCCCAGTTAAGACAGGGAACTCTTTTACCCTCTGACTTTAACAACTTAAAGTTTTTCCAAAACCTGTCTTCAACTACTCGATCACGCAGATAGGGATTGTTCTGTTACTGAGAAACAATATGAACTATAGATGGGGGATTTCCTGCCAAACTCCTTTTCAGATATGATGTTTAAATTATGCAATTTGCTCTCCAG